GTGGACACTCTAGAGGCCACAATTCTGATCCGATTGTGATGAAACTTCGAATGCATGTTTATATCCCAAAGATCTTGGTTCCTTTCCATATTCGCGCATATGGAATCGTGCCTTCCTGAATTATGGCCCCTGATTGTATGAAAGGAACCGAGATCTTTGGGTTATAAACTTACATTTCAAGTTTCAACAGAATCGGATAAAAATTGTGACCTCTATAGGGTCCACAACCTTGATATACCATATTTTAACGCTATTTGAGAACAAACGGTGTCCATTTTGTCTGTCAATTTTGGGCGGATTTTCACGAAATTCGAACTCAGCCATCCTTAGGGTGTAACGGTGATATAATAATACGTTTTTTTAAAATCGGATAAAAACTATGACCTCTATAGGGTCCACAAGCTAAAAACGCGATTTTTATACACCCACATTGAAATGTGGTCGTATATTGTCGTAGCCCCCGTCTGTCCGTCGGTCCGCTCTAGAGGCTAAAGTTAATATCCGATTGACTTTTAATTTATATACAGTGTTTAAGTTCATGAAGCAAAAAAGCCTATTGATTTTCAGCGATTTCCGATAGTTACTGCCAGAGTTATGGCCCTTGATCACTTCAAAAAATCTTGTGGACGCTCTAAAGGCCAAAGTTAATATCCGATTGACTTTAAATTTATACACAGTGTTTAAGGTCATGAGACAAAGAAGTCTATTCATTTTCAGCGATTTCCGATAAATACTGCCAGAGTTATGGCCCTTGATCACTTCAAAAAATCTTGTGGACGCTCTAAAGGCCAAAGTTAATATCCGATTGACTTTAAATTTATACACAGTGTTTAAGGTCATGAGACGATGAAGCCTATTCATTTTCAGCGATTTCCGATAAATACTGCCAGAGTTATAGCCCTTGATCACTTCAAAAAATCTTGTGGACGGTCTAGAGGCCAAAGTTAATATCCGATTGACTTTAAATTTATACACAGTGTTAAAGGTCATGAGACAAAGAAGTCTATTCATTTACAGTGATTTTCGATAATTACTGTCACAGTTATGGCCCTTGATCACTTTGAAAAATCTTGTGACGCTCTAGAGGCTAAAGTTATCATCCGATTGACTTCAGATTGATACACAGAGTTTAAGAGCTTGAGACGAACAAGTATATTGATTTTCAATGAATTTTTATGACTTGAACAGCTAAATCCATGATATTAAAAGTTTTGTATACTAAACGTTAGCATGGGGCAGAACTTTATAAAAACCAAACAAATTCTAATGGTTTTCTGATAATTACTTCATGAGTTGTTACTCTTAATCAGATTTTAGTGTATTATAAATGTTTCATTACCGAAAGAAGTAAAAATATGCGACAACACTTGTTGACTGCCCGGACGATTTAGCTGCTGTGGGCGTATGTTTCGTTGCCTGGCAACCTATCTTTCGTACAATCGGCTGCCATAATTCAGGAAGTTATTTTCCGATATGCGCGAATATTGAAAGGAACCGAGATCTTTGGGTTATAAACTTACATTGGCCACTGATTGTACGAAAGGAACCAAGATATTTAGGTTATAAACTTACATTTCAAGTTTGTGGTCCCCATATATTGAGGTCACAATTTATATCTAACGATGGTTGAGTTCGATTTTCGTGAAAATTGGACCAAAATTGTCGGACAACATGGCCGCCTCTTGTACGCAAATAGTGTAAACATCTGGTATATCAAGGTTCTGGACCTCGTTCCTTTCATTATTTGCGCATATCGATTCGTAGAGGTCACAATTTTGATCCGATTTTGATGACACTTGAAATGAATGTTTATAGCCCAAAGATCTTGGTTCCTTTCGATGTTCGCGCATATCGAATCGTAACTTCCTAAATTATGGCCCTGGATTGTACGAAAAATCGCATTTTGAGCTTGTGGTCCACATAGAGGTCACAATTTTTATCTTGATTTAAAAAAACGTTTTAGTACATCCCCGTTAGACCCTAATGATGGTTGAGTTCGAATTTCGTGAAAATTGGATCAAAACTATCTTACAAAATGGCCGCCCCTTGTATGCAAATAGTGTAAACATCTGGTATATCAGTGTTGTGGACCTTCTAGAGGTCACAATTTTAATCCGATTTTGATGACACTTGCAATGCATGTTTATAACCCTAAGATCTTGGTTCCTTTCGATATTCGCGTATATCGAATCGTAACTTCCTGAATTATGGCCCGTGATTGTACGAAAAATCGCGTTTTGAGCTTGTGATTCCCATAGACGTCACAATTTTAATCCGTGAAAATCGGACTAAAATTGATGGATATAATGGCCGCTCCTTGTACACAAATAGTGTAAAAATATGGTATATCAAGGTTGTAGACCCTCTAGAGGTCACAATTTTTATACGCCCACGTTTTCATGTATATTGTCGTCGCCCCTGTCCTTACGGACGTCCGGACGTGAGTCCGTTCACAATCTACAGGTCACAATTCTCATCCGATTTTGAAGAAACTTTAAATATAGGTTTTTCTCCAAAAGATCTTGGCTGCTCTAGATGTTGGCATGTATGGCCCTGTTTGTACGAAAAATCAGGTTTTTAGCTTGTGGACACTATAGAGGTCACAATTTTTATCCGATTTTGTTGAAACTTGAAATGTAAGTTGATAACCCAAAGATCTCGGTTCCTTTCGATATTCACGCATTATGGCCCCTGATTGTACGAAAAATCGCATTTTTATACGCCCACATTTTCATGTGGACGTAAATTGTCGTCGCCCCTGTCTGTCCGTCCACAATTTGTTTGTGGACACTCTACAGGTCACAATTCTTATCCGATTTTGACGAAACTTGAAATATAGATTCATCTCCAAAAGATCTCGGTTCCTTTCGATATTGGCATGTATCGGATCGAAACTTCATGGATTATGTTTGTACGAAAAATCACGTTTTTAGCTTGTGGACACTATAGAGGTCACAATTTTTATACGCCCACATTTTCATGTGGACGTATTATGCCGTCACTCCTGTCCGTCCGTCCACAATTGTTTGTGGACTCTCTACAGGTCACAATTCTTATCCGATTTTGACGAAACTTGAAATATAGGTTTATCCCCAAAAGATCTTGGCTGCTTTCGATATTGGCATGTATCGGATCGAAACTTCATGGATTATGGCCCCTGATTGTACGAAAAATCACGTTTTTAACTTGTGGACCCTATAGAGGTCACAATTTTTATCCGATTTTGTTGAAACTTGAAATGTAAGTTTATAACCCAAAGATTTCGGTTCCTTTCGATATTCGAAAGGTTGTGGACCCTATAGAGGTCACAATTTTTATCCGATTTTGTTGAAACTTGAAATGTAAGTTTATAACCCAAAGATCTTGGTTCCTTTCTATATTCGCGCATATCGTACCGTAACTTCCTGAATTATGGCCCCTTATTGTACGAAAAATCGCGTTTTTAGTTTGTGGACCCTATAGAGGTCATAATTTTTATCTGATTTAAAAAAACGTATTATTATATCACTGTTACATCCTAAGGACGGCTAAGTTCGAATTTCGTAAAAATCAGCCCAAAACTGACAAGACAAAATGGCTGCCGTTTGTTCTCAAATAGTGTAAAAATATGGTATATCAAGGTTGTGGACCCTATAGAGGTCACAATTTTTATCCGATTTTGTTTAAACTTGAAATTAAAGTTTATAACCCAAAGGTCTCGGTTCCTTTCAATATTAGCGCATATCGGACTGTAACTACCTGAATTATGACCCCTGATTGTACGAAAAATCGCGTTTTTAGCTTGTGGACCCTATAGAGGTCATAATTTTTATCCGATTTAAAAAAACGTATTATTATATCACCGTTGCACCCTATGGACGGCTGAGTTCGAATTTCGTGTAAATCGGCCCAAAATTGACAGACAAAATGGCTGCCGTTCGTTCTAAAATAGCGTAAAAATATGGTATATCAAGGTTGTGGACCCTATAGAGGTCACAATTTTTCTCCGATTTTGTTGAAACTTGAAATGTAAGTTTATAACACAAAGATCTCAGTTTCTCTCGATATTTGCGCATATTGAATTGTAATTTCCTGAATTATGGCCCTTGATTGTAGGAAAAATCACTTTCTTTTTAGCTTGTTCTCTATCCATCTCTCGAAAATGTGGGCGTATCCTGTCTGGCAGCCACTGGTTAGCTTGTGGACCCTATAGAGGTCATAATTTTTATCTGATTTAAACAACCGTGTTATTATATCACCGTTACACCCTAAGGATGGCTGAGTTCGAATTTCGTGAAAATTGGCCCAAAATTGACAGACAAAATGGCCGCCGTTCGTTCTCAAATAGTGTAAAAATATGGTATATCAAGGTTGTGGACCCTATAGAGGTCACAATTTTTATCCGATTTTGTTGAAACTTGAAATGTAAGTTTATAACCCAAAGATCTTGGTTCCTTTCGATATTCGCGCATATCGGATCGTAACTTCCTGAATTATGGCCCTTGATTGTAGGAAAAATCACTTTCTTTTTAGCTTGTTCTATCCATCTCTCGAAAATGTGGGCGTATCCTGCCTGGCAGCCGCTGGTTATCCGATTTTGATGAAACTTAAAATATATCTTGATATTCCAAATATCTACTTCGCTTTTGATATTTGCACATTTCCGACTATAACTTTCTGGATTATGGCCTCTTAGTGTACAAAAAATAGTTTTTGTTTTTAGCTTGTTCTCTATCCATCTCTTACAAAATGTTGGCGTATCCTGCCTGGCAGCCGCTGGTTGTTTTAGCTTGTTCTTTATCCGTCTCTTGCAAGATGTGGTCATATCTTGCCTATCAACCACTGGTGATCTGATTTTGATGAAACTTAAAATATGTGTGTATATCCGCAAGACTCTTGGTTCCTTTCTATATTCGTGCATATCTATTGCCCCTGATTGTACGAAAAAATGGCGATTTTAGCTTGTGGACCCTCTAGAGATCACAATTGTTATTGGTAACCTCTTTTCTTTTTTTTTGCAGCCTGGAACAATGCAAAAATGGCGCAAGCTCTTGAGCAAAGACAGAGACTTGATGATGTCAGATTCAAGGAGGCTGGTCAAGGCCCACTACAAAAAACATATTTATATGATCCAACTAAAAGCAAAAAGAAATCTATTAGCCCACCATAGCTTATATCAGAGCCACAGCTTATAATTGTTGCCGTAACTGTTTTTCTGTGGACATATATTGTTGTTGCCGTTGTCCATCCACAGTTTTTTTTTTTTGACACTCTACAAGTCACAATTTTTATCCAATTTTGATACACATTGAAATATAGGTTTATCTCGCTGATTGTACAAAGAATCGCGTTTTTGGCTTGTGGACCCTCTAGAGGTCATAATTTTTATCTGATTTTGTAGGTCAGTTTTGTCCCGATTTTCATGGTATGCAAATAGTGTAAAGGTATGTAATATCATGGTTGTGGATCTCTAGTTGTCACAACTTTTATCAGATTTTGATGAAACGTAAAATATATGGTTATCTCCCAAAGATCTTAGTTCCTTTTGATATTCGTGCATATCCTACCGTAACTTCCTGGATTATAGCCGCTGATTGTAAGAAAAATCACATTTTTAGCTTGTGGACCACTAGACAGGGCTGGATTAACAACGGGGCATGATGCTGACCAGGGAAAAGCGATGTAATCATGGTCGGACGGATGAATACATCTGCTAGTGGAAGTGATGGGGCCCCCATCGGATCTTTTAAAAGTGCTTGACAGTGGGGTCCCTTCCATCAATTGTGAGCTCGTCCCAGACCCTCTGTACGTTGAAGTTCTGGGTGACCAAGATTTTGAAACATGATAACTCTCCTTCTAATTGAGGTAGAATGTTCAAACTTGATGTAGGTGTCTATTACGTGAATGTCTGGACATAATTTGTTCATGTTATCTAAATTATTAATTAGACATTAATTAACCTATCCAGACAATAATGAACTCTAGATGGCATCGCTAGCCTGCGATCTTTAATGGATTGTGAGTCAATTTACTGCATAACTTTCCTTCACGATTTAACGATTAAATGGATAATCGAGACTATGCTGTTTATCGTACTGACTTTAGTAATGATGATCAAGGCTAGACGGAAATTCAATCGCTTTGTTCTCGGTTCATAGTGGATCGATTTGAATGAAATTTTCAGCAAATTGCCTTTACATTATCTAGTTTTTAACTATTATAGTAAGAACTGCCAACTCGTTATCGAATCTCCCATAATGTATCTTTAAACATGCATTATGCAAGAGCTAAATCTGCCTATCGCAGGTCTTTCTTTAGGCCTGAAATCTTATCTACATTATTAATTAGACATTAATTAACTTATCGAGACCATAATCAACTCTCGATGTCAAGGCTAGCCTTCGATATTGACTGGATTACAATCCTATATGCTGCAAATGCTAATTGATAATTAAATCAAAACAATGGATAATCGAGACTATGCTTTTTAACGTACTAACTTTAGTAATGATGAATGAGGCTAGGCGGAAATTTACAAAGCTGATATCTGGGTTCATAGTGGATCAATTTGACTGAAATTTTCAACAAATTACCTTTACATTATCTAGTTTTTAACTATTATAGCGAGAACTGTCAGCTCTTTATCTAATCTCCCATAATGTATCTTTAAGTGAGGATGATGTAACTTGGTGTATAGTTTTATTACATCAATACCTTGACTAAGTTCGATAATGAACATTTTCAGCTCAGGGTAAGCAAAGCAATAAGCAGTTTGATTGGTCGAGACTTTGGAACACAATAACTCTCATTCTAATTGAGCTAGAATGTTAACACTTGGCGTAGGTGTTTACTAGGTGCATGCCTTGGTGGAGTTCAAAGATGAGAATTTTCTGCTTAGGGTAAGCAGAGATAAGCAATTTGATTGGTTGGTGCTTTGGTACACAATAACTTGGTGTATAGTTTTATCACATCAATACCTTAAACATACATTATGCAAGAGCTAAATCTGATTATTGCAAGTCTTTATTTAGGCTTCAGATGTCATAGAAATTATAAATTAGATCTTTATTTACACAACAAGCATAAAATCAACTCTGTAGACCCACGGATGGCTTGGATTCGGCTTGGGTTTAAACAGGATTTCATTGATTGATTAAATTTTTAAATGGCGTCGTAAGGGGAGATTAACCGTTACGTTGACGTCATACTGCCGGAAATTTTAGATCGAGGCTAAATTATATAGTGTACAAAGCGAGGCCGCTGATGAGCAAGGTCGCATGTCAGTCAATTTGATTGAAAGTTCGATATATATACGGCCTTGATATTATGTTTAGTTGTGGTTAAAATGGGAGTTTGGATGTCGGTATTATACGCTCTTTTGTCACTTGTGTTTACAGAAAAACTATGGAAATTGATAAACATCGCAGCTAACATTACCCCAGTTGAATTGCAGCCCCATTGGATCACTGTTTCCTATTTGTCTGCTTCGGGAGTTACGTAGGCCTACCAGTTACAGTACAAGAGTACACGCAGGCTAACAAGAAGTCGGTTATAATTATGCCTCATTGATTTGGTCCATTCCTTTCAAACTTTTGCTTCTTATCTATATATTAAAAATCTTATTTTTAATTTGTACAGAGTTCGTACACTAAAATGTGAATGAAATTCCATGACTTTCCAGGACCAAAAAGGGCATTTTCCAGGACCAAAATTAGAGCATTGCACTGAAGTTTGTCTATGCATGTTTACTGAATTAAATCTGCACGAATAAGCTAATCTACATCGTCATGCAAAGAAATCAACTTCTTGCAAATTATGAAACTTTTCTTAATACCAATATTCACTTAAATTACCAAATAAAAGTCGGGCTACAATCTCTGTGATGAATGTTATCTTAAAGCATCAAGTACTTTAAACAAAGTTCAATTATGATTGGTATTTCCTACTTTCGGTTTTAGTGCCAAAACTATCACAATGTGAACTAGAACTTTCTGTTGAAATTTCAGTTGTACTACCCCCTGTTTGACCCGAAAATGAGGCAAAAAACTGACCAATAGGGGTCGTGTGGCTTTTTACTTACAGCTGCTTCCCTCATATTAGATATATCAAAAGACTTCTGACATGCGCAACATCGGGCTTTTCGTGAATTAGTTTTGTCACGCATCAACCATGAACAGGAATCAGTTTTTGTCATCTAACAGTCTTGAAATGTACATTTACCGGGAATTTTAATATTGTTGTAGTTAGTTGGGTATAACAAAGAGAATTCATCATGCTATTCGAAAGCAAAAACACAACTAGTTGAACTAGTAACTGAAAGGGAGATAATTCAGCCAAGTCTGCGTGACTGCTACAGGACGTAGTCCAGATTATCAAGCCAAAAAATTGTCAAGCCAATGACTGTTGCGTCTGAAAAAAAAAAACTACGAAAGTTTGTCTACTCTTGCATCTATTTTTCTTTACCGTGCTTTTCATTCGTATAAGTTTTACAAATTGAATAAATGGGATCAAATTTCGGAGAAAGGGTGATTACTGGACGGAGGTGAAAATTTCATGATTTTCCATGATAAAATACTCATATTCCAGGTTTTCCAGGTGGAATTCCATGACTTTCCAGGTTTTCCAGGAAGCGTACGAACCCTGTTTGTAGTAAAAATAAATGTGATACGAATTGAATTGCAACCCCGTCTCAAACCGAATAGGCTAACGGTACCACAGCCATTGAAAACGTTACTTGATAATTGAGATTATGTAGGTGGAGTTAACGCCTGTCAATCAAACGATCGGCCATTCTGAGAGAGTTGACTCCTATTTCTAGTCAAAAATTACAAACAATGGTGATAACTTTGTTCAGAATAAAGTAATTTGAATGAAATTTTCAATATATTCGTCTTTCATCATCTATTTTTGAACTGTTATAGCAAAAATGGCCAACTCTCTATTAAATTCTTCCATAATGTATACTATTCAAAAAAAGTAGGGGATATTTGATTTTTAAGTGTTATTAAAGTCACCTAATGAAACTGATGAAGAAACAAATGACAAAATGAAATGAAGTTCACATTCATCAATTTATTCCAAATGATCGTTAGACTAAGTAAGGCACAGACTGACCATTATAAGGGTAAAATGATACCCGGGGTCAAACAGCAAAGTTACCACAGCATCACAACCAAGTCAGTAACGGGTAAATCCTCCTCTGTTTGCCAAACAAGCATTGATCCGACGTGGCATACTCCTAATGAGACGTCTAAGGTCATTTTGGTCCAGATTGTCCCATTCCTGTTGCAACGCAGCAGCAAGTTCTTGGACATTGGCAAGACGTTGTTGACGTTGACGTAACCTCTGTCCAAGCATGTCCCAGACATGCTCGATGGGGGAGAGGTCGGGACTCAGTGCTGGCCAAGGTAATGTGGTGATGTTCTGTTGTTGGAGGTAACCTGTAACGATCCTGGCCCTGTGACATCTTGCGTTGTCATCCTGGACGATGAAACGGCGGCCATGACGTCGTGCGAACGGCACAACATGGACTGCCAAGATGTTGTCCCGGTAGTACTGGCCTGTAACACGGCCTGCAACAACATGTAAAGCCGTTCTTCCAGCAACAGTGATGCCTCCCCACACCATAACAGAACCACCCCCAAATCGATCATGTCTGATGACGTTAACGTCTTGGAAGCGCTCGTTTCGACGATGCCACACCCTCCTACGTCTGTCCAAAAAATCAACAGTGAACCTTGACTCATCTGAAAACATCACATTGCTCCAGCGTCGATTATCCCAGTGTTGACGATCCCTACACCAACGACGTCTTGCCTGAATGTGATGATCTCTCAAACAAGGGATCACGCGAGGACGTCGGGCGCGAAGGTGACCCCTATGCAGTCGATTCCGAATCGTCTGGCCACTCACTCTCACACCAGTGTCTGTTTGAAGACGAGCGCTGATCTGATTTGCTGTGATGACACGATTTCTCAAGGCCAAGGTACGGATAAATCGATCCTGGGCTTGAGTTGTCGCCCTTGGTCGACCTGAGCGTGGTCTGTCCTGTACAGATTGTGTATCACGGTATCTGGACCATAGCCTGCTTATGACAGACTGAGAAACATTCATCGTCCGCGCCACAACCGCCTGTGTTGTGCCGATCTGTAGCATGCCAAGGGCACGTAACCTTTCATTTTGGGTAAGCCGACGCATATCAAAATTTGTTTTCTGGTCACTAAAACAATTAAACTGATGTTTCCACCCTGGAATTCAATGCCACAATGACTGTAACATTCAAAGTCAGAGTCGTGCAAATCTTGGGTTGGACCCCCATGATGATCCCAAGCATCACCTGCATTCCATGCGGTAGCTATTGGTGCGTTTGGGCGTCACATGTAACTGGAAATGTTTCTTCTGTTAGGTTCTATAGTGACTTTTTTCGTAGTCATTTGCATATTTTAGTATTATGCCCCCAAAATCAAATATCCCCTACTTTTTTTGAATAGTATATCTTTAACTAAGTTCGATAATAAACATTTTCTGCTGAGGGTAAGCAGAGTGATAAGCAATTTAATTGGTTGAGACTTTGGAACACAATAACTCTCCTAATTGGGGTAGAATGTTCAAACTTGGTGTAGTCGTTCATTAGGTGAATGCTTTTATGGAGTTTGATGATGAACATTGTCTGCTTATGGTAAGCAGAGATAAGCTATCTGATTTATTGATGCTTTGGGACAATATAACTTTGCTTATGATTAAGTAAGAGCAATGAAACTCCAAGTATAGATTCTTTATATCACTACCTTGACTAAGTTCAGTGAGGAGCCATAAGCAATTTGATTGGTCAAGACTTTGGAACATAACAACTCTGCTTTTAATTGACTTAGAATGTTTCAAGATAGGTTCCCAGAAAAGTATTTATCGGGTGGTTATTTCCAATAAAAGTATGGCAATTTTGGTATATATGGAAAGTAGAGATATCCAATTTTATTAGAAAAATACTGGATTCCCTGAAAAACACTCATGGAGCGTATACAGGACAAAAATGTCAGGGTTCCCCGAATTGACAGCCCAACGATTAGTAATATCTGCACGTGTGACGTCAAAGGTTGCACACGGAGATTGAGCGCTTGATGTACATGTTGATAAACTTTATGAAGAGTTAGACGTACAACACTTTCTGAGATAAAAATCACAGAAAAAGACGTGGGCAGTGGATAATCCTAAATTTAATTAGGATTCGATATTTGTAATAAATAGTCAGCGATTAAAGACAACATCGTCTTGTGTATGCGATGAATTCTTCTCCGACTTCGAACCCATGAGTCACGTGACACAAACATGACCTCTTTTGATCGATTTTTTATAGCAAGGGTATTCCTTGACAATTACAATGTTTTGAGAAGGATTTGAAGCAAATTTTTAGGCCAAATACATCATCAAATCACCCAGTTTGTACGCGGAAATGTATTTTTAAACTTGATGTAGATGTTCATTAGGTGAATGTCTTGACTGAGTTCAGTGATTAACATTTCGAGCTAAAGCTAAGCAGAGCTGAGCAATTTCATTGGTCGATGCTTTGGGACAAGATAACTTTGATTCTATCTGATAAAGAGTGATGTAACTTGGTGTATAGCTGATAATCAGTTTGATTGATCGATACTTTTGAAAAAAATAAATGTGCGATTAATAATTATGCGTCATCTATTTATTTTGGCATTTCAGCAAGGGACATCAGCCTCACTGTTGGCCTGTTAATCCTAATTGGTCGTCATTATTGTTCTCCCCCTTTGGAATAAAGCAGGGGACTATTAAAATGGGTTCGTTCGTCCATCTGCCTGCATGTCCGTCACACTTTTTGGGACACAATTACTCTCTTTCTAATTGAGCTAGAATGTTTAATCTTGGTGTAGGTGTTTATTAGGTCAATGCCTTGATGGAGTTCGAAGATGAGGATTTTCTGCTTAGGGTAAGCAGCGATAAGCAATTTGATTGGCTGATGCTTTGGGACACGATAACTTTAGTTCTAATTAAGTGAGAGGGATGAAACTTAGTGTATAGTTTCATTACATCAATACCTTGACTAAGTTCGATAATGAGCATTATCTGCCCAGGACTTTGGAACACAATAACTCTCCTTCTAATTGAGCTAGAAGGTTCAAACATGGTGTAGGTGTTTATAGGTCAATGCCTTGATGGAGTTCGAAGATGAGCATTTTCTGCTTTGGCTAAGAGGAGGTAAGCAATTTGATTGGTTGATGCTTTGGGACACGATAACTTTAGTTCTAATTAAGTGAGCCTGATGAAATTTGGTGAAAAGTTTTATTACATCAATACCTTGACTAGGTTCAATAATGAGCATCTTCTGCTCGGGTAAGCAGAGCGATAAGCAGTTTGATTGGTCAAGACTTCGGAACATAACAACTCTGCTTTTAATTGAGGTAGAATGTTTAAACTTGATGTAGATGTTCATTAGGTGAATGTCTTGACTGAGTTCAATGATTAACATTTCGAGCTAAAGCTAAGCAGAAGCTATACAATTTTATTGGTTGATGCTTGGAACAAGATTCTATTAGGGAGAAGAGCTTTGTAAGTGAATTCACTTTGATGATTTATGATCAATAAAATATGTTTAAATTAAATTTAAATTAAATAGCTAGAGTGATTAAACTTAGTGTATAGTTGATAATCAGTTTGATTGCTTCATACTTTTGAAAAAATAAATGTGCTATTAATTAATATGTGTCATCTATTTATTTTGGGATTTCGGCGGGGGACATCAGCCTCACTGTTGGCTTTTTCATCTTTGTTTATAATAATGCATGAATTATGGGATTTATTTCGGGAAGAGACTTAACTCTTTCTTGACTTGGCCAAATATACTGGATAATCAACCACATACAAAATCAAACTTCTGGTTACGCATGGGCAATGGAACTTTTCGTCAAATATTTACAACAGTCCCAGACCCTCCAATCGTTAAAGATTAGGCGGTTCTGGGTGACCGAGGCTATCTACGTTCTAGTCACTTGTGTTAGGTCTCAAAGTCCCAGTGCCCAACAATGCCTCTAGGAAGTCTCATTTTTTATCCGATTTTAAAAACTGTTCATATATATCACTGTTACACCATAATGATGGTGGAATTCAAATTTGGTGAAAGTCTCACCGAAACTGCAAGACAAAAAGCACACTTAACGTAAGCAAATATTGTAAAAAGTATGTTATACCAAGATTGTTGCCCCTCAAGAGGTCGCAGGTTTTAGCCGATTTTGATGAAACTTGAAGTGTATGTTTAGAACCCAAAGATCTCGGTTCATTACGATATTCGTACATATCGGAATGTAACTTCATGGATTTGGGCCTTTGGGTTTTTTTATAAAAAAAAGTTAAATATATCACCGTTACACCATAGTGACAGATGTTTCCGAATTTCCTAAAAGTCTGACCGAAACTGAAAGTCAATTAAAGTAAAGGTATGTAATACCACGGTTGTGGGCCCTCTAGAATTCACAATTTTTATCCGATTTTGATGAAACTTATAAAATATATGTTAACATCCCAAAGATCTCAGTTCCTTTCGACATTCGCGTATATGGTATATCGGATTCCTGTGGAATACTGATTGTACGAAAAATCCAGTTTTTAGTCTGTGGATCCTCTAGAGGTCACAATATTTATCCGTTTAAAATAAATCGAAAAAAAACGTTTAAATATATATCACCTTTAAAGCTGAGTTCAAAAATTGTGAACAGTTCTAAAAAATGTCCGCTCCCCGTATGCAAATAGTGTAAAAGCATGTAATACCAAGGTTGTGGACCCTCTAGAGGTCACAGTTCTTATCTGATTGTGATGAAACTTAAAAATATATTTATATCCCAAAGGTCTGAGTTCCTTTCAATACTTGTGCATGTCAAACCGTAACGTCCTGGATTATGGCTCCTGATTGTCCGAAAAATCTCCTTGTCAGCTTCTCTGTCCATCTCTTGCAAAATGTGGGCGTATCTTGCTTGGCAACCACTTGTTTATAAAGAATGTATTTGTTAATATATTATATATCTGTATATATGTGTGGGTGTAGTCCATTAGATGATTCCTACAGTGGGGCCCGACTAATCACCAGAATTCACCGGAATTCATTTACAATCACCAGAATTCACTTTAAAAAAACCTGATTCCTCCCACAAAACTAATTTATTTTAAATGCATAATACATTATAATATAACGAATAACTATTTTGGTCTCTCCACAGGCCAGATGAAGGTGCTGTAGGTGTATTTATTTGAAAGACTATTGGAATTCATTTCAAATCTATACATCATGATTATTATAACTTTATGTACGTCGAATTACCCAAAAACTCCAAAACAACACCCAGTAACTCCAAAAATGTTGACTGTGGAAACACAAAATAACAATTTAGTTGAGTTTAAGAAGCCTCACTGCTTTGGGCCGAAATCGGAGGTTCAGGAGAAATAAATTGTGTATGAGATTTTTGTTGACAAGAAACTACCGAATGTATACTTTCGTAATTCGTTGCAATTCATTGTAATGTATTGTAATTAGTGATTGATTAATAGTTTATTAAAACAGTAATTATATGCAAGAAACATATTATGGTATATATAGTGCAATAAACAATTCAATATTATAGCTATATTTATTTATTGTCCCCCGGCCTTTCGAAGAAAGCAGGGGACTATTAAAATGGGTTCGTCCGTCTGTCTGCCTGTCTGTCTGTCCGTGACACTTTTTGGGACACAATAACTCTATTTCTAATTGAGCTAGAATGTTCAAACTTGGTGTAGGTATTTATTAGGTCAATGCCTTGATGGAGTTCGAAGATGAGCATTTTCTGATTAGGGTAACCAGAGATAAGCAATTTGATTGGTTGATGCTTTGGGACACGATAACTCAAGTTTTAATTAAGTGAGAGTGATGAAACTTAGTGTATAGATTGATTACATCAATACCTTGACAAAGTTCGATAATGAGCATTTTCTGCTCAGGGTAAGCAGAGCGATAAGCAATTTGATTGGCTGAGACTTTGGAACACATTAACTCTCCTTCTAATTGAGCTAGAATGTTCAAACTTGGTGTAGGTGTTTATTAGGTCAATGCCTTGATAGAGTTCGAAGATGAGCATTTTCGGCCTAGGGTAAGCAAAGATAAGCAATTTGATTGGTTGATGCTTTGGGACATGATAACTTTGGTTCTAATTAAGTGAGAGTGATGAAATTTGGTGTATAGTTTTATTACAATACCTTGACTAAGTTCGATAATGAGCATTTTCTGCTCAGGGTAAGCAGATTAATAAGCAATTTGATTGGTTGAGACTTTGGAACACAATAACTCTCATTTTAATTGAGCTGGGATCACGTGGCTAAGTGGGTAAGACGCTGACTCGCTAGCCTTGAGGTCGGTGTTCGATCCCTGCATTGGCCGAGAAAGTTCATTCAGATTTTCCGGCGTGGTTTTCCCCTTGTCAGTGATGCAGGATGGAGGGCCTGACAAGGACAGCTGTCTAGTCGTTCGGATGGGACAAAAAACCGGGGTCCCGTGTACACATTGGCGTGCACGTAAAAGTTCCCGTCTTCATTAGCCCAGTTTAGGAGCAGAACAGTAGGACGTTAAACCCCATTTCATTTCATTTCATTTCTAATTGAGCTATAATGTTCACACTTGGCGTAGGTGTTTATTAGGTGAATGCCTTTGATAGAGTTCGAAGATGAACATTTTCTGCTTAGGGTAAGCAGAGATAAGCAAATTGATTGGTTGATGCTTTGGGACACGATAACTCTAGTTCTAATTAAGTGAGAGTTGGGACACTTGGTGTATAGTTTTATCTCATCAATACCTTGAGTAATAAATAAGCATTTTCTGCTTATGGGTAAGCAGAGCGATAAACAATTTGATTGGTCGAGACTTTGGAACACAACTCTCCTTCTAACTGAGGTAGAATTTTCATACTTGGTGTAGGCGTTCATTCGGTGAATGCCTTGATCGAGTTCGATGATAAACATTGTCTGCTTACGGTCAGCAGAGATAAGCAATCTGATTGGTTGATGCTTTGGGGCACGATAACTTTTGTTCTAATTAAGTGAGAGTGATGAAACTCATTACCTTGACCAAGTTTGTTAATGAGAATTTTCTGCTTAGGCTGATCGATAAGCAGTCTGATTGTTCGATACTTTGGAACACAATAACTCTCCTTCTAATTGAGGTAGAAGAATGTTCAAACTTTCATTCTATCTGATAGAGAGTGATGAAACTTAGTGTATAGTTGATAATAAGTTTGATTGCTTGATACTTTTGAAAAAAATAAATGTGCAATAAATGAATATGTGTCATCTGTTTATTTTGGGATTTAGGCGGGGGACATCAGCCTCGCTGTTGGCTTGTTTATAATTGCAACTTGGGTTGATTGTCACTTTCGGCCATCAACATCGTAAATCAATTTAGATAAGTAGGGGCCTATTGCTGACAATTAATTGTCTCTGCTCAAAGTTTTCTCATGTTATGATAGTTTATTGTGTTGTGATTGTATATGATTTGTCACCTTTTACAATGACAATATTTAAATTCAATATGATTCGTAAATCCGATATTTTTATCATTAAAGGGCTAGACATATGTGGAGAAAACTTTGAAAGTCATCAAATTTGAGATGTTTTAAAACAGTTGTGTAGAACCTATTTGTAATACATCAAAAAGCCTTTTTTATCAGTATTTCAGTCCTAATTTTAACTTACAATATTATTTGACTAAATCCATACACTGGAATTCATTTACAATCACCGGAATTCACTTACGATTACCGGAATTCACTTTGAAGATATCAGAATTCGCCCATATAATCTTCCTATCTACTTATATTTTCCATTAATATTAAAGATAGCCATTCTTGCTATAACAGTTCAAAAATAGATGATGAAAGAAGAATATATTGAAAATTTCAGTCAAATTACGTTATTCTGAACATAGTTATCACCCGTGTAATTTTTGACTAGAAATGGGATTGAATTCCATCTTCACCGATTCTTAGTATGGCCGATCGTTTGATTGACAGGCGTTAACTCCACCTACATAATCTCTGCTGTCTTTTGTCTGCTTTCATCATATCCAAATTTGTGTTTTACCATTTTGGATTTTTATAAGAATTGGACAAAATGAGTGAGAGGGTAAATTTTCATTCTTACTTGTATTTTGGGCATGCATTAAATCAACTGAATATAGGACATAATATTATAATACAATTATGATAAATCTATAGGTATACACCAGTTGTGCGTGCATATTGGCAATTTGGGAAATAAAAATATTTTTATTGATATTATTAAGACAAAAGACCTGCCTGTCTGTATTAGTCATTACACGGTCTCCAGGAATTGTATAATTTGTCATTATCTGTGTTTAGTTTATTGCACTTTAAATAGTTTAGATGTCATTTGTTAAGGAATCGCTCAACAGCGGCCTCGCTTCGTACACTCTATCATTTAGCCTCGATCCGGGAGTATGACATCAACGTAACGGTTAATCTCCACTCACGACGCCATTTAAAATTAAATCAGTCAACGAAATCCCGTTTAAATCCAAGCTGAATCCAAGCCATCCGTGGGTCTACAGAGTTGATTTTGTGCTTGTTGTGTAAATAAAGATCTAATTTATAATTTCGATGACATCTGAAGCCTAAATAAAGACTTGCAATAATCAGATTTAGCTCTTGCATAATGTATGTTTAATATTGAATTACTTTAAAACACATAAAATCACCGGAATTCACATTGAAATCATATAAACACCGAAATTCACTTTCAACATATCGGAATTCTCACTGAAGACCTTCGAATTTACTAATATATTACATTAATTATTAATTACTTTAAATCACCGGGATTCACTTTGAAAACGTATAAACATCGGAATTCACTTTCAACATATCGGAAATCGTAGGCCTACTTTAAGACCTTCGTATTTACTAATATTTTATATTAATAATAAATTACTTTTAATCACATAAATTCAACGGAATTCACATTAAAAACATATAAACACCGGAATTCACTTTCAAAATATCAGAATTCGCACTTAAGACTTTCGTGTTTACATGGAACTTATGTATTATAAGGTCCATGTTTTTTACAAATATTTTACATTAATAATAAACTACTTTAAAACACCGGAATTCACTTTGAGAAAATCGGACATTGAAAACGTATAAACACCGGAATTCACTTTGAAAACATATAAACATCCAAATTCACTTTCAACATATCGGTTGAGAAGGCGCCCCTATATCTCCAAGCCACATACGCTCACACAAGGGATCGAAACCACAGTCGCAAGCCAGAGGTGACCGACTAGCTAGAGGTCGAAGCGTGGCCTCGAGAATACTAGGCCCCACCCTCCCCCCAAGTTTATTCGAAGATTATTTTGGTAATAATAAGCCTATCAAATAAAGTCTCATCAATAATGGTTTGGGCGTTTTCATAGATAATCCGTTGTAGCATGAAGCAATCCAGATTAAATAAAGTGCAAAAACACTGGGGTCACGCAATTTTGGCCTAATCCTTACTGATTATTCCTTTAATCAACACTGACGTGTTTAGTAGTTATTTAATAATTAATTTGCAGTGGATATGAAGTTCAGATTTATGTTTAACCTGTTTGTTGACGGGGCGCTTTTGCTGACTGTCTCTAGAATCATAGCTATAATATTAAATTGTTTATTGCACTATTATATACCATAATATGTTTCATGCACATAATTACTGTTTTAATAAACTATTAATCAATCTCTAATTACAATACATTACAACGAAAGTATACATTAGTTTCTTGTCAACAAAAATCACATACACAAGTTATCTCCCATGAATCTCCGATTTGGGCACAAATCAGCGAGGCTTCTTAAATTCAACCAAATTGTTATATTGTGTTTCCACAGTCAACATTTTTGGGGTTATTGGCTGTTATTTTGGAGTTATTGGGTAATTCGACGCAAATTGTTATTATGTGTTATTTTGGAGTTCGGCCTATTGGGTAATACGACGCGCCCTACGTTATCATAATCATATGATGCATATATTATTTGAAATGAATTCCGGTAGTCTTTCAGATAAATTCACCTACAGCGCCTTTACCTGGCCTGTGGAGAGATCAAAATGTATTATACATTTAAAATAAGTGATTTTTGTGGGAGGAATCAGGGATTTTAGAAGTGAATTCAGGTGATTGTAAATGAATTCCGGTGAATTCCGGTGATTAGTCTACCCGCTATAATGTACTAAATACTTAAGCCCGTATTTTCGAAAGTGGATTAGTGCTAATCATAGATTTAATCTCTGATTTTCTGACCAGGTATATTCTGAAAAGCTGATTAAATTTTCATGTGGACGTATATTGTCGTCGCCCCTGTCCGTCCGTCCACAATTGTTTGTGAACAGTCTACAGGTCACAATTTTTATCCGATTCAATGAAACTTGAAATATAGGTTTATCACCCTAAGATCTCGGTTCCTTTCGATATTGGCATATATTGGACCGTAACTTTATGGATTATGGCCCCTGATTGTACGAAAAATCACGTTTTTAGCTTGTGAACACTGTAGAGGTCACAATTTTTATCCGATTTAGTTTAAACTTGAAATTTATGAATATAACCCAAAGATCTCGGTTCCTTTCGATATTCGCGCATATCGGACCGTAACTTCCTGAATTATGGCCCCTGATTGTACGAAAAATCGCGTTTTTAGCTTGTGGACCCTATAGAGGTCATAATTTTTATCCGATTTAAAAAACAGCATTATTATATCACCGTTAAACCCTAAGGACGGCTGAGTTCGAATTTCGTGAAAATCGGCCCAAAACTGACAGACAAAATGGTCGCCCTTCGTTCTCAAATAGCGTAAAAATATGGTATTTCAAGGTTGTGGATCCCAAAGAGGTCACAATTTTTTATCCGATTTTGTTGAAACTTGAAATGTAAGTTTATAACCCAAAGATCTCGGTTTTTTTGTAAGTTCCTGAATTATGGCCCCTGATTATATAAAAAATCACTTTCTTTTTAACTTGTTCTCTATCCATCTCTCGAAAATGTGGGCGTATCCTGCCTGGCAGCCGCTGGTTATAAACTTTGATTAGCCTAATCAGTGAGTAAATCATTGTTCGAGAATACCATAAAATGTGGTATTCTCGAACGTTGACTTGTACTTAATCATTGACTAAATCACCCCAATATTTAGTCATCCCAGGGGGGTTGTTTAAGGATGGATTAAGTACATGGATATGCAATTACAACGTATTGAATGTTATAGAAATGATTATTTTTCATTGAATTCAGACACACTGCACTTATATTTTGCCACGAAAGCAAAAAAATCACATTCACTGTAAATTCTGGTGAAAAAGATTTTTTAAATATTCAACATTCTCTAAAATATAAAACATAAATAATTATGTGTACTTTAGTCAAAATGAATACACTACAAAATACAAATAATTTTTAGAAGTGTCAAAGAACCTTTTAACAAAAGGAATTGCATAGACGGAGAAAATCAACCTCTTATCACAAAAGGGAACCCACAGCAGCTAAGTCGTCCGAGCAGTCAACAAGGGTTGTCACATATTTTTTTTTCTTTGGTCAGTAATGAAAACATTTACGACTCTAAAATCTGAGGACGAGTAACAACCCATTAAGTAATTATCAGAAATCAGTAGAATTTGTTTGGTTTCTAGTTCTGCCCTCTACGAACGTTTACTATACAAACCATTTAGTATCAAGGGCCATAATTCTGGAAGTAATTATCGGAAAGCATTGACAATCAATACATCCCCTCCTCTCATGAAGTTAAACACTGTGTATCAATTTCAAGTCAATGGGATATTAACTTTAGAGCATCCACAAGATTTTTCAAAGTGATCAAGGGCCATAACTATGGCAGTAATTATCGGAAATCGTTGGAAATCAATATAGGCTGCCCAATCTCATGACCCTAAACACTGTATATAAATCTAAAGTCAACCGGATACCAACATTAGTCTCTAGAACGTCCACAAGATTTTTCAATGTGATCAAGGGTCATAACACTGGCAATAATTATCGGATATCTCTGGAAATCAATAACCTTACACACTGTGTATAAAATTAAAGTCAATTAGATATTAACTTTAGCCTCTAGAGCGTCCACAAGATTTTTCAAAGTGATCAAGGGCCATAATGCAGGCAGTAATTATCGGAAATCGTTGAAAATCATGACCCTAAACACTGTGTATAAATCTATAACCAATCGGATATTAACTTTAGCTTTCAAAGTGATCAAAGGTAATAACTCTAGTAGTAAAGATCAGAAATCAATAGGCTCCTCCGTCTCGTGGCCTTAAATACTGTGTATAAATTTAAAGTCAATCGGATATAACCTTTAGCCTATGGAGCGTCCATAGGATTTTTCAATGTGATCAAGGGCCATAACTCTGGAGGTAATTATCGGAAATTGTTGAAAATCAATAGACTTTTGTGTCTCATGACCTTAAACACTGTGTATAAATTTCAAGCCTAGTACTGAATACATGAAAGAACCAATAGAAATATTGAAGCATAGTAATAGTATACAAAGTAGAAAAGTCAAACGTTTCTTTTGATTTAGCATAGTCTTTATGGGTGTTTTTCAAGGTGTCCACAATGGCTTTCTTTTTATACGCCCACATTTTCATGTGGACGTATTATGCCGTCGCTCCTGTCTGTCTGTCCGTCCGTCCGTCCGTCCGTCCACAATTTGTTTGTGGACACTCTACAGGTCACAATTCTTATCCGATTTTAACGAAACTTGAAATATAGGTGTATCTCCAAAAGATCTCGGCTGCTTTCGATATTGGCATGTATCGGATCGAAACTTCATGGATTATGGACCCTGTTTGTACGAAAAATCACATTTTTGGTCTGTGGACCCTATAGAGGTCACAATTTTTATCCGATTTTGTTGAATCTTGAAATGTAAGTTTATAACCCAAAGATCTTGGTTCCTTTCTAAAATCGCGCTTATCGGACCGTAACTTCCTGAATTATGGCCCCTGATTGTACGAAAAATCGCGTTTTTAGATTGTGGACCCTATAGAGGTCATAATTTTTATCCGATTTAAAAAACCGTATTATTATATCACCGTTACACCATAAGGACGACTGAGTTCGAATTTCGAGAAAATCGGCCTACAATTGACAGACAAAATGGCCGCCGTTCGTTCTCAAATAGCGTAAAAATATGGTATATCAAGGTTGTGGACCCTATAGAGGTCACAATTTTTATCCGATTTTGTTGAAACTTGAAATGTAAGTTTATAACCCAAAGATCTCGGTTCCTTCCGATACTCGCACATATTGGACCGTAACTTCCTGAATTATGGCCCCTGATTGTACGAAAAATCGCGTTTTTAGCTTGTGGACCCTATAGAGGTCAAAATTTTTATCCGATTTAAAAAAACGTATTATTATATCACCGTTACACCCTAAGGACGACTGAGTTCGAATTTCGTGACAATCGGCCCAAAATTGACAGACAAAATGGCCGCCATTCGTTCTCAAATAGCGTAAAAATATGGTATATCACGTTTTTAGCTTGTGGACCCTATAGGGGTCACAATTTTTATCCGATTTTGTTGAAACTTGAAATGTAAGTTTATAACCCAAAGATCTTGGTTCCTTTCGATATTTGTGCATATCGGACCGTAACTTCCTGAATTATGACCCCTGATTGTACGAAAAATCGCATTTTTAGCTTGTGGACCCTATAGAGGTCATAATTTTTATCCGATTTAAAAAAACGTATTATTATATCACCGTTACACCCTAAGGACGGCTGAGTTCAAATTTCGTGAAAATCGGCCCAAAATTGACAGACAAAATGGCCGTCGTTCGTTCTAAAATAGCGTAAAAATATGGTATATCAAGGTTGTGGACCCTATAGAGGTCAAAATTTTTATCCGATTTTGTTGAAACTTGAAATGTAAGTTTATAACCCAAAGATTTTGGTTCCTTTCGATATTTGCGCATATCGAATTGTAATTTCCTGAATTATGGCCCTTGATTGTAGGAAAAATCACTTTCTTTTTAGCTTGTTCTCTATCCATCTCTCGAAAATGTGGGCGTATTCTGCCTGGCAGCCGCTGGTTGTCAATAAAAAAGAAATTGTTATATTCTTAGTTATAGCTGTTCAAGCAATGTTTCCGATGTAAGAGATTTAAGAAACGAAAGACAGTCGAGTTCTTTGAAACTTGATAAATGTAAATCAATGTTTCACATTTTTATACAATAATTTATGTTGCTAAATGACATTTTATATGCTTGGCACTCAGTTCAACAGTTGTATATAGAAAAAATGCATACTTCTTGTGTCTCAATAGTCAAGCAACTCGTAAAACTTTGTTATAAATAATAATGAATAAAAATCGCCCATATACGAAGAAAACCAAAATCCCACTAAAATTTGGGAAAGTGTGCCAGTGTAGTATTATTAAAAGCGGATAAATAAATTAATAATACAGATATAGCAAGTTTATGCACAATAGACAATTAGTGATAATTTTGGATTTTAATAGAAAAGAGGTGGCATAAAATTAATTGCATCAGGAGAATATATGGGACTTTGATATTAGCAACAGAAATTCATAATTCGATTACTAAAAGGGAGCCACGGTGATGCGGGATGCATGGGACCACGTTGAGTCGTTTAGATTGGATAACAAACCTAAGTACCATGTACACATTGAGGTGCACGTAAAATAACCCTTGGCTGTTAGAATTTGGTATAACTGTGAGTCGTAGTTTTGCTGTCCAGGCGAAATTGCCTTCATAGCACACTGTATGGCGTATGTTCGTCTCCCTTAACCAAGTTGGAGCTGAACAGTAACCCCCATTTCATTTCATTTCGAATACTAAACATATCCGAACTCCATTTTAATTGCCTTTTTTTTTCACACATTTTATTTCTTTCCTGTCCACCCATATGAACCTCTTTGACTTTGCAGACCCTAAAAATATATTCACGGACCCTAGGATGTGAAAAACTGTTCTAAAACATGTACTTTTCTAATCTACTTCCTCTAATCTACTTCCTGTAATTGGGCCCCTTTATCAATGACAAAAGCCTTTTTATGCGCCCACATTGAAATGTGGACGTATATTGCCGTCACCCCCGTCCGTCGTCCACAATTTCTTGTGAACGCTCTAACGCCAAAAGTTATCATCCAATTGTTTTAAAATTGATATATGTTGTTTAAATTAGTGAGATGAAGAAGCCTATTTAATTTCAATAGTTTCTGTTTATTATTTCTAGAGTTATGGCCCTTGTTTCACTTTATTGAACCTTGTGAATGCTCTAACGCCAAAAGTTATCATCCGATATTTCTGAAATTTATATGCATTATTTAGATTACTGAAACAAAGAATCCTGTTGAATTTCAGCAATTTCCGTTTATTACGTCTAGAGTTATGGCCCTTGTTTCACTTTATTGATCCTTGTGAACGCTCTAATGCCAAAAGTTATCACCCGATCTTTGTGAAATTTATATGCATGATTTAAATTAGTGAAATGAAAAAGCCTATTGAATTTCAGCAATTTACAATAATTACTTCTAGAGTTATTGCCCTTGTTTCATTTTGTTAAACCTTGTTAATGCTCGATTGATGAAAGTTATCATCCGATATGTATGAAATTTATATGCATTATTTAAATTAGTAAAACGAAAAAGCCTGTCAAATTTCAACAATTTCTGTAGATTACTTCCAGAGTTGAGACCCTTGTTTCAGTTTTTAGAACCTTGTAAACCCTCAAACGACAAAATTTGTAATCTGATCTGTATGGAACTGTCTTGTAAAGGCACCCAATTACCTACAAAGGAATAAAAATGCGACAACCCTTGTCGACCGCTCGGAAGATATAGCTGCTGTGGGCGTATGTTTTGTTGCCTGGCAACCTATCTTTAATCACTGATTATATTTAATCATTGATTAAATGTTTAATTATAATCAAAGTTTAAACATGAATTTTAATCGTTGATTACAAAAAATTAAAGTCAAAGATTAGCTAATCTGACTTTTGAGAATACCAAACTTAGTCAACCACTAATCTCTAACCAGCTAGTTACTGATTAGACCTAATCACAGATTATTTTAGACACTGTTCGAAAATATGGGCCTTAATGTCTCTAGATTTATGGGGGGTTGAATGGCCGAATGGTTAGCGCGTCTGCGTTGTATCATATGGTCTGTCATTGAGTCAACTATAGCGTGGTTTCAATAGCTGGTTGTTCGTGACAAGTAGTAGGGTCGCCTGTCCAACTAGTAAATGGGGTCCTAATTTAAAGAGCATATAAAACTAGCACATAAGATGTGCATGAGGTCAGTTTGGACTATACCACTTCCACACAAATAGACACAGAGAAAACAAGTATCACAACACCCAAATGTGATCAAGAGAAATTTATTATGTAAATAAATATATGTAAAAGTTAAATGAGAATTTTGATGTATTCTGTCTATATATACCAGCGAAAGCTGCCAGTGCAGCACGTAACAGTGCATGGGAAGTATGAACAACCCCTTGGCTTGTTTGGGAAATCAGCTGTTGCATTGAGGAAAGTTTTACTAGTGAAAGTGCTTATATATAGGTTGATATTTTTACAATCATTCTCTTTTTGACAAAAGCATGAAAATTGGCATATATCTAGTTTTTGATGTTTTCTTTTGAATAAGAGCCAGACTTTCAAAATGACTTCCTTTTAAAGGACACTATTGGTGTTAGTCATTATAACATACTGATAGAACTGGTTAAACACATGCCAAATAAAGTTTTAACACAGAGATTATTGCTATGAAGGTTTGAAGAAATGGAAACGAAAGCAAAAGGAAAACACAAGTTATCCTTCTATATAACTTAACTGAAGTGATGAGTGATAACAGATTACGGGCGAATTTCTGCTCACTAATAATTCCTTGGAAGACCAAAAGTTGTTATGCGAGACTATGAGAGGATATCTGACAATTCAAAAAAGTAATTGAATGTCACTAGATAAGTGAAAACGAGAAAAATAGAAATAGTCTGTACTTTACCCTGTATTTTATTGTCCCCTGCGTCTGTCCGTCTGTCACACTTTTTGGGACACAATAACTCTCCTTCTAATTGAGCTAGAATGTTCAAACTTGATGTGGGTGTTTATTAGGTCAATGCCTTGATGGCGTTCGAAGATGAGCATTTTCTGCTTAGGGTAAGCAGAGATAAGCAATTTGATTGGTTGATGCTTTGGAACACAATAACTTTAGTTCTAATTAAGTGAGAGTGATGAAACTTGGTGTATAGTTCATTATATCAATACCTTGACAAAGTTCAATAATGAGCATTTTTTGCTCAGGGTAAGCAGAGTGATAAGCAATTTGATTGGTCGAAAATTTGGAACACAAAAACTCTCATTCTAATTAAGCTAGAATGTTCAAACTTGGTGTAGGTGTTTATTAGGCCAATGCCTTGATGGAGTTCTATGATGAGCATTTTCTGCTTAGAATAAGCAGAGATAAGCAATTTGATTGGTTGATGATTTGGGACACGATAATATTGGTGTATGGTTTTATCACATCAAGACCTTGACTAACTTTGATAGTGAGCATTTTCTGCCCAGGGTAAGCAGAGCGATAAGCAAATTGATTGGTTGATGCTTTGGAACACAATAACTCCTAATTGAGGTCATGGGCGTCACACATGGGAGGGTCCGGGGGGTCCGCCCCCCCCCCCCAATTGTTTTTCTGGGGGGGTCTGAATATACTTGGACCCCCCCCCCCCCCAAATTTACATAGTAGGCCCAAACTCCTATTGATTTACAACAATTATTAGGATTAGTTAAGATTCTATCTGTATAAAACCTGTAGACATCACAATATGGTTTATACTGGTAAAATAAAACACAGAGATAATCATCCTGGAAATATGTGTGAAGTGAAAAGTACCTGTGTTCCATAAAATTGTGTCAAGTTAGCCTGTCAGTAATATTTTGTTAATTTTTTTCTGCATTTTATCAGAGTGAATCGAGGGGCAGTAGTAAAAAAAACATCATACGTCAAGTCGAAAAATATGCACTGGACCTGGGTAGACCACCCACCCATTAAAATCTTGCGTAAAAAAATATGCACCATCATTTTTAAGAAAGACCACCCTAAAATCTTGCGCAATAAAATGTGTTCTTCACAGTTGCTTAATTGACCACCCAAAAATCATGTGCAAGAAAATGTGTTCCTCACAGTTGTGTATTAGACCACCCTAAAATCTTGTGCAAGAAAATTTGTTTCTTGAAATATCTCATTTTAGACCACCCAAAAGTATGTGCAATACCTAACTACTAAAGGCTGAGCAATAGAACAAATGACAAGACGATATGTTATAAATACAGTATTTATATTGAGTTGATGTTCGACAAAATTCTGAGTCTGAATTATTAGCAAAGATAGTCTAAGACTGCCCATATGCAGAGACAGGCTAAAATATATGAACTTAGGCTTGTACCTATTCATTTATTGTGCTTTCCCATATCCACTCAAATCTACTGATCACAGGTTGACCAATTTTGACCAGAGTGTGAAGAAGTAAAAGATTACCCAAATCTCATCTTGGCATGCTGCGGTGTTGTAGGTAAAAAAGATGTTAACCCTCTCCACACGACGTGTTTATTCTGAGTGGGCTGGCAAACCAAATTGACAGGACAACAGTCGATCAAATCACGGGATAACACTTGAATGAAATGATAAGGCTTTGAAATATTAATGAATATTTATGTAAATATACATATACAAGAAACAGGAGTTACAGTACAAACATAAACAAGTTGACAGCTTTCTTTGTTGACAGTTCAAATTCAATAATTAGAGTTCACGAGTCACAGAATTCACAGTTCACAGAGTTCACGATGTCTATGGAGATCCGCCATGTTAGAAAGCATGGGTTTTCACGAAATTAAAGTTCACTTTAAAGTTCACTATAAAGTTAATCACAGTCGTCACCTTACGACACAAAGTTCACCATTCACTTAAGTATCACAATTGTCCTAAAAACATAGTTACCAAACACCACCTCCGAGACAGGGAAAAAAACAGTATCGACACAGCATTGTAACATGCTTGTGAATCTTGCGTTTTGGTTGGTGGATTAGACACTGTCGATTGGACAATATATAACTCCCCTGTTTTAGCAAGGCGAATAACTGCATATATAAATATTACAGTGTACTTTTTTTTCATTTTGTGCTCAGCCATCTTCCTCAACCCAAATCTTTATTGACAAATATCTTCAAGAAATTCTGCTCAAATGACCATCACACTATTTTCAAACTTCATCCAAACACATCTCTGAAATATATAAAACAGAAGAAAATCAGTCATAAACAGGCATCATAAATTATTCGTAACTAAGCAGTGTGGACAATTTTGTTTTGGTTTTTTGCACTCTGGGAGTCTCTGCAGTGTTTACTTTAAAGTGGACAATTTAAATCAAAGTTTGCCCAAATTCTGAATAACATGATCTGCCTGATAATGAGTCATTAGTCTCAAGAAATTGTTTGAAAATATAGTCACTAGGGGAGGTGAAATAGCAGCTGATTTGGTCCTAGGATAACGGAAAATTATGCTAAAATTGACAATGACAATGACAATACAAACATTTCAAAATTACAATCAAAAATCGAATTGGTCTGATCCCAATTTGAAGGGGGTTCACAAATGGAGTTACTTCCCTTGGTTCGTAAAATATTCAACAGCGGGGATTTTCAACCTAGCCACGAGGGAATTTATCAAAATGACAAATATTCGTACAATAATCCAGAGATTTCACATATTATTGATGGACAAATATAAATGACGTCTTTACTTACACTTATGGTGCTTTTTTCTAACAATTCTAACATATAAAATACGATTCAATCAAAATAAACAATTTTTAACTGCACATAGTGGGGGTTTTCAACTTTCCAACTCTCCAATTTAAGAAAAACACAAAAGGCCCAACATATCATGTAGACTCGATTTTCTATGTCATGTTTTGACCAAAAAAATACCTCAATCATAATAAAATAATAATTCAAAAATTTATTGTCACAACATACCGCTCGCCATGAACTATTGGGACAAGAAGGAAATAGTTCATAACACTTTCCAACAACAATACTACGCCACTTTCAAACCTTCAATCAATTCTATCAAAATTACAAATACAATCCTAGCAAATATACAAAGTTGCATAGTTACAAGTAGCCTGTTCAACAGTATAGTCCTACAATTTAATTTGGATATTTCAAACATTTCAAATACACCAATATTTCAAACAAATATGTCTAAACTTCACAGTCATGTGCTTCTAATAAACACAGTTTAAGAACGGGTCTTTTTAGAACCGAATTCTTAGTTTTCACTTCAACATTTCGAACTAAATTGTCATTACCGGGGAATACATCAGTTACGCGGCCAAGAAGCCATTGGTTCTTGGGAATATTGTCTTCACACACTAATACCAAATCGCCTATACACAAATTACGCTTAGGTTTTAACCATTTGCTACGATTTTGGAGAGTGGGGATATACTCCTTTAACCACCTATTCCAATAGTGATTGGATAATAATTGGCACTGGCGCCATCTTTTCTTGCTAAATTTATCAGTTTCACAAATAATTTCGTGAGGAATATAATCACTGGGTTTCACATTCAAGAAATGGTTCGGAGTTAAAGGGTCATCGTCATTTTGGCTTAATGGGTTTCGCGTTAAAGGTCTGCTGTTTGCGATCCTTTCAGCTTCTGTTAAAACAGTTGTTAATACCTCTTCGTTGATAGTGTCATTTCCGATAATTGCTTTCAAACTTCGTTTTACACTCTTTACAATTCGTTCCCACACTCCTGACATATGGGCTGCAGTGGGCGTGTGGAAAATCCATTTACAATGACGCTCAACAAGATATTTTTCTACCTTGCCGGAGTTCAGTTTCCGGATGCACTCGCAGATTTCTTTTTCAGCTCCGACAAAGTTACTTCCGTTGTCCGAGGAAATCTGTTTAACACGTCCGCGACGATTCATAAATCTAATCAAGGCTAATAAGAAATCGTCAGTTTCTAGAGATTTCACAAGTTCCAAATGAATGGCACTGTATCACTTCACGAATGGCAATTCTTGATTTCAAAATCCAAAACCTTTCTCGGATTAACGAAAGCACTTGTTCGTGTCCACAGTGTCCATTTGCTTTATGGAAATGTTGGATTATCACCTTCGTTACATGATGTTTTCGCGGAAGTATCATGGGATGTTTCGCATCATATGATATAGGAGCCTTTGTCAGTCTACCACTTACATGGATGATGCCATCACTTAATAACGGTTTTAGCCTGACAATGTTACTCGAGTTGCTCACACATTGGTATGATTTCAAACTTGTCAGTTCATTTGGAAAATTCCGACTTTGAACTTCTCGGATGATACACTTGGTTGC